AAAAAAAAATCGGGAACTCGGCATGAGTGATCAGTATGTTTAGCGATCAGTAGATTTGATTATTAGTATTGTAAATATGAAGACAACAACTGGTTTAACATAAATCCTTCACAAACGCTGGCATTGAGACTATAAAAATACCAGAACTCACTTTTTTAAGCCACTCTTCAAAGCTAAGAGGTGGTTCTTTTTTAAAATCACCAGCAGCCTTTTCCGGAGCCTTTGTAGAAGTGTTCCTGTTCGACAGAAAGACGGGGTAACATAGCCAGTAGGCTGGTCTTGGCATTCCTTGGAGTGCTGATAGCTGTGGTGGGAGAGAAGTTGAAAATCCACCATTAACAACACCAGGTTCCGGAGTTTTTTGAGCTTTTGACTGAAGTTCTGCGTCATTTGATTCCAGAGGCGCCTCCTTCGTGGTACCAGGATCCTGGAAACATCGGAAGTGGCTAATAAGTAAAATACTTCAGGAACAATGAATCCAACGAACTCACCGTAATGATAACCTGCGAGGCTAATTCCTGGGCCTCCTTGACGGCTGAAGAAGAAGCACCGGTTACAGGAAGGAGTAGATTTCTGGTTGGACCGCAAATATCGCAGGTAAAGCTCCTTGAACTGCAAATAGGGGAACAAAGCGATCCATTCACTGTTATAAACCCAAATTGTAATACTCAAAAATAACCACCAACCTTGCAGCGAGCTTGCGACGTTCCTCAGTAGAAACACTCATGGAACCAATTGCACCAGCGCCTGAAGTCGGCATGAAACCAATAATTGCAAGTAAAGCTGTTCTAATGGACCAAGAGGGACACCATGTTTCCGGATGGTAGCCAGAAATGCTAAGACATATTTGGCGGTACTGCTCAAAACGACCATTCGGCTAAAACACACATGAGATCAAAATCAGGAGCAGAAGAATGAACTTACCGTCAGTAGCATAATATTGGGCGGCTTCATAGGGTACTCAGTGGGAAGAGAAATCTGACCATGGTAAATCCCACCTTCAAATTCACTACCTTCAGGACCACGAATAGTAAAGTGCCACTCGAAAAGATTATCCTGGGTGAGTTAATTAACCTGTGGAATAACACTTGCTTCGAGAGGTTGAGCATAATAAAGTTCTGTCGGCTGCGAGAGCTCTTGAGCTTCCCGCATCAATCGCTTAACGGCTATGAGAATGCAAGTTAGAATTAGGTAAAAGTCTAACCAGGGCTCCTAGTGTTATAGGTCGTCATCGCTTTCCCATGCAAGGTGTCGCGACTTTAAGGCAGTAACACAAACAAAAATATCGGAGTTCACACCAAAAGTTCCAATGTGTACTTATTTTTAATAGTTTCGAAATGTCAAATTAATATCTATCTTAAAAAACTATTTGTTTATTGTGTTACAAGCCTTCTGTTAGCAGTTATCCTTCGTTTAATTAAAGATCCCCAATGAGCCAGTGCTAAGCAGTCTTAATGCAATAACAAAAAATTTAGAATCGTGTGACTGATCTTTATCGTAAAAAGTTGCATATTCAACATGATATATTTCAAGACCCCTTGCTAACCTTATTTGATACAAAATCCTTACTCACTTCATGTGCTGGTCTGAGCTTTTCACTCCACTAGCTGCAATTCATTTAGCTAAACCACTTTAATAGATGCACCGCCAGTGGAGGAGCGCAACCTTTTCAA